ATAATAAACATAAAATGAACTATTTACAAAAGGTAAATGGGAAGAGTGATGTATTTATTTCAAAAATACATCAGTTATAAAACAATTCAATACGGGCTAGTGAGAACAGTATTTTTTTTCAAAGGGTTAGTATAAAAAATCACTTTGATCATTAAGATTGTTCTCGTTTGTTTGTTGAATTTCGCGCAAAGCTATTCGAAGGCTACGTGCATTAGCCGTCCCTAATTTTGAAGTGATAGTCTAGAAGGAAGGCAGCTAGTCAACATCACCCACCGCCAACTGTTGGGCTACTCTTTACCAACGAATAGCAGGATTGACCATCACGTTATAACGCCCCTACGGATTGCGAGTAGAGTGTCCTAACCACCAGGCAAGACCTTTTCGTATATTTTGTTTGTTTGTTGTTAAACATAAAGCTACACAAAAGGCAATCTTTGCTCTGCCACCATAGGTATCAAAACCCAAATTTTAGTGTTATTAGCCCCAGGGTTATCGATGAGCCATCGAGGAGAAAGATGATGGCTCGACGTATAAAACAAATTTCACAACAGAATCAGGTGACATAGGTTCTGCATACTTTCAGCCTGCCGACATTTTAGTGCTATGACTGATACTGTTTTCCAGCGAAATATTTACCTACTTGCAAGTATTGAAACAGACTTGAAAACTTACAGCAATAAAATGCATCAACTGTAGTTAGATTAATCATTGCTATACATTTATATCTCTTAAAACGCTAGAAAAATAACTCAAACCAAACGAGATAATTTTTTTCAAAATTCGTTTTTCTTTTGAAATTATAAACAATGCTCATAATACTACATCATTGTACCTTCAGTGCTGGGACTTGGTGACGTTATAGGTGTATCAATATTGTCTCCACCACCAGAAGTCGTTCTGACAGTGAGTCTACTTCCACTGTTAGATAATACATCTGAGTATGAATCCTCAGAACCCGCGTCATCAGGGGTCGAAGATACTTGCAACGGCGAAGGGTGTTTGACAGTATTGAAACGTTGTAGATTCAGAGCCTGGGTCTCTCTGGTGTCCAGTTTATCATAACCATACCAACTAAGAAGCTCATTCATAGTGGTCTCAGCGTAACCCTTCAAGAAAGAAAAAGAACATTGAAAACTGTATGTCTTTTAAATTACTTTAGGTTATGAACAGCATCAAACTTGATTGGAGCTTTATAATAAAGACAAACAATATGAAAGGAAGAATATAGCATTTATTCAGTAAAGTTTTATTAGAGGTTTGTTTTAAGGGCAAATAATATGAAAGGAAGAATATAGCATTTATTCAGTAAAGTTTTATTAGAGGTTTGTTTTAAGGGCAAATAATATGAAAGGAAGAATATAGCATTTATTCAGTAAAGGTTTTGATTAAAGGATGTGTTAAGGACAAAACAATATGAAAGGAAGAATCCAGCATTTGTTGAGTAAAGGTTTTGATTAAAGGATGTGTTAAGGGCAAAACAATATGAAAGAAAGAATCCAGCATTTGTTCAGTAAAGTTTTATTAAAGGTTTGTTTTAAGGGCAAATAATATGAAAGGAAGAATACAGCATATATTCAATAAAGATTTTGATTACAGGATGTGTTAAGGACAAAACAATACGAAAGGAAGAATCCAGCATTTATTCAGTAAAGTTTTTATTGTAGGTTTATTTTAAGGACAAAATGTTTCAAAGCACACATTATTTGTTCAAGAATTATATTGTGAATACTGAAGACTGATAAAAAAAAAAACCAGCGAATACCTCGTCCACGTATTGATTACAAACCGTACTCTTTAAGACATAAATATTTAGCCACGGCATAGCGGCTCATAGAATGGCTCAGCGTTTTCTTTTTCTTTTTGAAGTGCAAACTTTTAGCTCGTAACTCCGTCAACTCTTGACCGATTTGAGACCTAATTACAGTTTGGGGCTCAGGAGGTCAAACCCTTTCGATTGATGTATTTGACCACGTCCAAGGTCTCAAAGATTAATTTACTCTAATTGTGCCTAAAAGAATTTCAATTGGAGGGCAGAATAGTAGATATCCTGGTGAGTAATAAAATCGAATTGGGTATGCGCGCGCCCCACACTTAGTATTGCTGGCGCACAAAAATATAGCTAATAAAAAAAGAAACTAAAGGTCTCATAGATTAGTTTACTCTAATCCTGCTAAAATAATTCCAACTGTCCCTGAAAAACTGGTTAGATCTTTAGTATGTTTTGTTATCACACGTTTCTTTTTTAAAACATAATCCGCCTCTGACGGCAGTTTCTATAACAAATCAATTATTTTTAATGAAAAATACAATTATCCTATTAGTAAAAATAATTTAAAAAACAATGAATACGCAACTTTTTGACTTTACTGAAGTAATAAACAGTAAACAAGTATTAATTTACCTCAAATGATACTTCAGTGCCTTCACGCGCATGTTTTACAACTAGCATTAGGACAAAAAAATATTATGCCTTGTTTTTGAAGTTTGAAATAAATACATCTTTTGGGTATGTTATTGACACATAATTAATTCATCCCAATATGTGCACAAACAAAACTCCATGAGTTACAGTTAATTTTTCTTACAGTGCTATCTACAGTACAGAACGTCCTTAAATATACTTTTACACTCTCTCTCAACCTTTTTAAAGAGCACTTTTTTATTTTTCCGTCATGTCCAGTCTTTACGTAATCACTAGAACAGGTGTGATTTTATGCAAATTAGACATGATTTGTTTTTGTACTAGTAAAAATATCAATCATTTTATCCTTGGTCTCGTGTTTCTTGTAGGACATTTTACAGAACTGCCTGTAACACAGTATCTGAGGAAACACTCCAGCAGTTTACTCTTGTATATCGATATCCACATTTCGCATCCATACGTTATAACTGCCCAGATTAGAGTCCTCTAGTGAGACAGCGGTAAGACTACGGACTTACAACGTTAAAATCCGGAGTTCGATACCCCGCGGTATAAACAGCAGATAGTCCAATGTAGCTTTATTCTAAAACAAGCAGATCCAGATCCTGCGGTATACACAGCAGGTAGCCCAATGTAGCTTTATTCTAAACAATCCAGATTAGAGCATTAAAAAGTCTTTATTTGGGTCATTATGCTGACATAATTATTTCTGCATAACGTAACGAGTTTCTAAGATACGCTTTTAGTTATGCGAATTCTGCCTTTAGTAGTCCAACTGCAACCACAATTTACTGTGAAGTTTGACACTAAAAATGTAAAATGTCCACTTGCTCTTGGGTTTTGACCTTAACTTTGTTTGAAATATGTGGTTTTCTAACTTCCAAGACCCCGGTGTTTAGGAAGAAGCTTATTATTTACTCCTGCTTTGCTTTATTTCATCCACCCGTAACTATGACATTTCATATAAAGTTTGGTCAAAATAAGAAAACATCTGTGTTTGAAAATTTCGTGATTTCTCAAACACTCAGACAACTCTTTGATAGCCACCTCTTGACTGAGGTAAATCATAATGACTTATAATCAGAGTATGCTATGTACTTAGAGCGAAACTAAAATCAACCTGGTCATCAGTGTAGCAAATTAAATATACTTTTCTCACGTTTATACTTATAAGCATAAGATAGAGTCTATTATTTCATCAGTTAGATACCCTTGCTACGGTATTTTCAACTGTAAAAATGTTTGAACAAAAGCTCAACCTTTGCTAAGCCTTGCTGCAGATTGGAGCTGAAAGCCACGCCGTAATTTATAAAACAGGTGAGGTGATATATCTGGAAATTGTTACATTTTATCATTAAAAATCCTCAGATCGAAAATCTAGTATTATGTTACTGACACTTCTATTACACCATGGTTCCAGATTGGGCTTATGCAAGTTCTACATTTAATTATTGTTTATTTTTATTTTCCGGTAAAATGTACAAAAAAAAATCTTCCTACCATGTGAAGTAAATTATTATCCTCCATATATTACATTCAAACAGTTCGCCTTTCTAAAGTAATGTAAAAAATAATTATTTATAATCGATCTTTTGACCATTTCTTTCTTATCCATATGATGCTACAGATGTTCAGGGTGATGCCAAAAATTTGGCTTCTTGGTGGCTGCATTCATGGTGTTAATGGAGAACCCAAAGATGTGGCCACATGGTAAATAACTCTTTAATGACTTCATGAATCACCTGAATTCGATACATAAAATTATCAAGTGAACCATCTTGTTGATACTCTGATAATCAGACAAGACAATAGCCTATCAACTTGTATCTACCGGAAACCAACATATATATAGATAAGTATTTGAACTTCAAATCTAACAATACACATTCAACAAAACAGGGAACAGTTTCCTGCCGGTTCAACATAGATAAAGTCTGCAGTAACGAATACCTGCCCCAAGAATTGAAATACTACCAAACTGTCTTTAAAACCAAAGGATACTGAAAAACTTCACCCAAACAAGAAAAACAGAAAATTGGGAACTGAGATCTACAATCTATGGATTATACTCCTCAAAAATCAGCCAACCATAAGCCTTGATCACAAACTCAACCAACCAATCAGAAATTACCTCCTCTAAAACTATGAAGACAAACAGTACACAAGAGCTCTCTATAGCGGACGCCCCAGAGGATAAAAAAAACAACAAATCTACAAGGAATTCAGTTCCTCTAGTGAAATGTCAACCACCTAACAGTAAAATCAAACTTCTCTTTTTTTTCCTCGGAAACGTGGATCTTTCCATCGTTACTGAGGAAATCCACCAAGCCCTTGAAGACTCCAATCAATCCAAAATCAAAGTAGTATACAGGATCCGTTCCAAAAAGACAGTCCAGCTAACCAATTTCCTGAAGGTAACCACCTCTTCCAAAAAAACTGCAGATCACATTTTAATTCGCGGCTGCTTTTTTTCTCTCTTACTTTTAGAGCTGAAAGACCCTACAGACAGCCGAGTCGATAAAACACAAGCCAACTTCTCTTCCAGCCCGCCAGCAAGCACTGAATCCACCAATCAAAAACCACCTAAACATTAAGAACAATCAGACACAGACCACTGAAGGCAGCCGGTCGATCACGAAAAACCACTACATACAAACAACTGAGGAAAATGCATCACTCCACGACCAGGAAACTCAAACAGAACCGTTGAAGTCTCGGTAATAGAAACTATGACAGAAACTTCCAAGAAAACGAACCAAAAAGACACAGTTTCAGCCAAAACAGAGCAAGAAAGCAATCCAGAATGATCCGCCGACGATCCAGATACCCGAAACAGTTACAAGACTGCTTCCACCGACACGACACGCATCTACTTTTCTCTTCCTTCATTCTGTAGAACACCGCTTCGACTCTAAAGACCACTAACCATCTGATTACTAAACAGGCTAAGAAGACTTTCCCAGCCTTTCAGTCTCAAACAATCCGTGTAAACTTAAAAAGATTCATTAATATTCATATGTATGTCTAATAATCGTTTCCAGATTTCCAGCTCGGGCACTGGTCGGGTTGATCATTCGGCGCTCAACCAGTGAAAGTGGGTTTCCCCCACAGTAAGCTTCTTGGAATAAGATTTATGGATCCCGCCAACTTGAATAAGGATCGTTTGTTCTGTTCTCACTTCTTATCAGTTAAACCTACTACGACCTCTCTGGTAAGGGTGGCTTTCACTTTGCAATTCTTGCCTGGATTTTACAATATCTACAATCATATCAGTAATGAATGTATTCCAAATTTCATCTTAATTTTTAAATCAAGTAATCGTTAAGTTCATAAACTAAATACAAAATACATTTACTTACTTTTAGTTTCCACGATAGTCTCATAATAATTTTTCACGAGCGGGGCCCAAGTTTGTTTGTTTGAAGTTATGCACAAAGCTACACAATGGGCTATCTGTGCTCTGCCCACCATGGCTATCGAAACCCGGTTTCTAGCGTTGTAAGTCCGCAGACACGCCGCTGTGCCACTGGGGGGCACGGGGCGAAGGAGAATAAGCGTATTCTCGAACACCCCAGTTGTGAAGATTCGCCGCAGGCAAACCTCTCTTTTAAATTAAATACCTGCCACGAATAAAATATAATAAAAACTTGTCATTAATGTTTTTCTTACAATCATACACATCTA